AGCACAACACATAAATAAAGTGAAAAGGGAACATTGGGATCTGGGAAAGAAGCACTCGCATTATAAACAGGAAAACTAATGCTACAGTCCCCATGTCTGAATGCACGCCTAGTCTCCACCTGTGGCAGAATGAGGTGGTCAGAATCCTGAGGCTGTCATACTTGTCCTGTCATTTTGTCCCCATTTTGAACATTTCACAATTTAAACATTTTTGTTTTTTGTTTTTTAAAGGCATATTGGGCTCATTCCTTGTTGGACTACTTTTATCTTTTTGGGAGAGTTTTTTGATAGAGAGAGTCGTTCAAAGTGTATCCCATAGCCCCAGCTGTATTTGAAGCGGCAAAGCCATTCCATCACCAGATTTCCTGTATCTGTAAACCAGACACAAAATAAGTAGGCTGCCCCCAAAATCTTGATTTATATAATTAGTTCATTACGTGTCTTCCAGTGCAGTCAGTGTTGAAAGGAAGATGGAGAAAAACCCAGTCTACTAGTTAATCCTCCACCTCCTGGGAAATGAATTTGCCTAGCGTGACTTGAAAGGCAGAAATAATAGATTTGCTTAACACTTCTGAAGTCTTTTTGAGGGTGGGCAGCCAATTCATAAACCATGTTAGCTTGCCCCTATAGGGCCACTTGGGTGAACCCCAGACTACATAGTCAACATTCCTCTGCAGCAGTGCATCACAGGAAATCCACCCATTTCTTGGCCCCATTCATAGATCACAAACAGGTGATGTGAATGGAGTGGTCAGTCTGCGGCCCTCTAACTGTTGTTTGCTGACTACTTAGAGTTGGAGGAGACATTCGATTCAATTTGCAATTAAACGCAAACCTACCTAATTCACAGGGATGCGGGTGGCGCTGTGGGTTAAACCACAGAACCTAGGAGTTGTCGATCAGAAGGTCGGCGGTTCGAATCCCCGCAACGGGGTGAGCTCCCGTTGCTCGGTCCCTGCTCCTGCCAACCTAGCAGTTCGAAAGCACAGCAAAGTGCAAGTAGGTACCGCTCCGGCGGGAAGGTAAACAGCGTTTCCGTGCAATGCTCTGGTTCGCCAGAAGCGGCTTAGTCATGCTGGCCATATGACCCGGAAGCTGTATGCCAGCTCCCTTGGCCAATAAAGCGAGATGAGCGCCGCAAGCCCAGAGTCGGCCACGACTGGACCTAATGGTCAGGGGTCCCTTTACCTTTACCTAATTCACACTTTCCAAAACAACAGGGAAACTGAAACAGTCATCCTCATTTCCCCAAATTTCGCAATGCAGTTCTCTAGTCAAAATGCAACGTACAAAAAAATGCATCATGCTAGCAAATATTGCTTTGCAAAAAAATTTGCATTTCAAGCAAAATGCATATTAGACCTGAATTTAGGATGGGGAAAATAGAGACTGGACTTGACAGATTCTCCTGTCCTTGGTCCCATCATCCTTGGCCATGCAAACTGGGGCGAATGAGAGTTGGAGCCCAACAACATCTGGTGGGCCCCAGATTCTCCTCTACTGCCTTTAAAGCTGCTCAGGAAACCTCAGAAACAGTTTGGAAATTGGTGGTTTACACAGTGTCATCAAGCTAAAAACTATTTCTTGTTTTTCAGTGTTTATTGCCCATTCCCCTGCTAAAGATCCAGCATTACCAATAAAGAATACAAATATATATCTCAGCTCCTTTTTAAAAAATGCCTAATGATCTTCCAAATTTATCTATGAGGATGCATTTGTGGATAAACAAATCTTTCCTTTCATAACCCTTTAGATTTCCCATAATGCAGTCATCTGCCCAGACCTCCTTCTAATGAGCTGAAAACCTCAATAGCGCCTTTTGTTTATAATAAATATTGCCTACTAATGTTACCAGCGCTATTGTACGATGTCTCAATAGAGGATTATTGCTTTGTGTAATACGTCAGCTTTATGCCTTCTCTTCTTGAGAGTGGAGCTGATACCAAGTGTTTAATCTGCAAATGATGCAATGAATAATGTACCCCAAATATAACATCAGTCTGTTGTCATTAAGGCTCCCAGTGAAGTCCTGGGGCATAAAATGTAGATTCGGCTGATTGATCAGTGCAGTCTTCGACACTGAGGCTTAAGGCTGAACTCTGACTTGTAAGGAAGTATAAAGTAATATTTACAAAATAATATCAATGATAAATCACTATTGGTTATTCATATTTATAACCCTTTCAAGGTGGCATGCACAGTCGTTCCCCTGCCCTTCCGCTGCCATATCTTCACAACAACCTTGTGAAATCGGGTTCTTCCTTAAAGAGGGCACATATTGCAGTGAGACCTGGACAACCGACACCCTGTGTTGTGGGTGGGTTCAACTGGTAAGCCACAACACCTGATTGGTAGGTCCCTTGAAGCTGGGTGCAATCTGGCCAATGGGACGCAGTCCAAACAGTTTGAGGGACCTATTTATGCCCATGCACGTGACCCAGAGCTTCCTCTTTCGGAACACCCGCCCAGCTCTCCCTATATTTAGGGCTGTGCGCTTGACCTTGCTATGCCGTCGTGTTGTTGGGACAGGGGCACAGCAGGAATTTTCCCCACTTGGCTGATTGGCTGTTGCCAATTGGGTTTCGCCTGCCGCGTAGCAAATCATCACAACTTGTAAGGTTGCAGATAGGCTCTGGTTCAGGTGATAGGGATGGGAGAATGCTCTCACCATCCTTATGTGAAGGGTATTCCATTAAAGGAATCCAGGGACTCGATGGTTTGGTCAACCCCTGAGAGGGGGTTGTGCCCGTGCCTGGGTCCAGGATGACATTTGGGTGGTGGAGTTGGCCCATGCCAGGCTTTTCGCCTATCCAGGTGTTCACCCTTGGCTGACCTATGCTGGAATCCTGGGTCAGTGCTACCTGCATGGCAGGGAGCTAGTCGAACCAGAGCCTATGCAACCACTCACTTTCTGTAATCAATAAAGTTGTGGCCTAAATTCTGCCAAAAACCAAACCTAAAATTTGAGTCAAGTGTGAATTTATTTAGGGAGGAGGTTTCTGGGTCTGAACACACAAATAGGCTAGCTAAGGCCACATTCTGAGCATCATGTCTGAGTGCAGATTTGAACCTTGGTCTCCCCTGTACAGTGTTTTTAATTTATACCCTCCCTCTTTCCTCCATAGAACTCAAAGCAGCTCCATGGGATATTGTTATCAAAGGCACCACCAGGTTTGAGAGGAACCTGGACAAAGTATCTCCCCACCCAGACTGACTCCACTAACCCCCTACCCACCAGTCCCCATCAATGCCCAGTGCCTTCATAAGTCATCACAGCATTTATTTTATTTTATTTTTTTTAAATCCTGTTTTATATATGTCTCAATTTTCTCTTACCACCAGCCGTTTTAGAGATTCATTCTTAGGAAAAGAGGTAGTGTATAGATATAAGTATTTTAAGTAAATATAGTACAATAATAATTGAACCAGGTTTCATAGATATGACTTCATGTGCTTATGTGCTTTGCCATTAAAGCTTAGAAGTTTGGCCCAACTAGAATCAATATCCAGTGCTATTTAAACACTCTAAAAATGATTATGCCATTACCTCTTCCATCCAGTTAATACAAATTATACAGTGATATTAAATTTACTGCAAACAGATCCTTAGCACTTGGATACTTCCAAAGAGAATTATTTTGCAGTTTTAAAACCAGATCTGGTTTTGGAAGGAAAGAACAGAAATATGTTATTAAATTCCATTTTGTGGTACAATATAATCAGCAAAGCAATTGATATGCTACCTCGTGGCAAGAATTTAAGGAAGAAAAATAATCAGAACACAGCTTAATTGGGGGAAAGCTTGCTCTCCCCTTAAATGAATACTTCAACTTTTTGTTAATGCAGTTTTACAGAGCCAGGGAGTGAATGGAAATTGTCGAACAGCTGCGTAAGAAGCAAGTTACGCTATGACAACACACAAAAATGGAAATTGTTGACATGGCAAGCAGGATTCTGCTCGGAAGAATTGTTTGAATTCGTATTTGTTAGATAATAGCAAAGTTTCTTTTTTACATACTGTAAAAGCTGAGGTTCTGCAGAAACATTATGTGAAACATTTATGGGGAATCCTTGGGCCCTTCTGGGCTACACATTTAAAGCAGTATGATCAACAAGAGAGCAGTGTGTGACTGGGAGCAACTTCTCCTGGGGAAGCGCAACAGGTAACAACAGGTCTGGGTTTCCCTGTCCATTCCTCTCTGCGTGTTCCAGTTACTGTTCAGATGGACTCTGCTTTCTCCATGGGCATTTTAAAGCAAGCAGAACAGGCTAGTCTCAACATCTGTATGAATTGCACTTTCCAGGAGGAAGAATGTAGGGTACACAGGCTGTTCGCTCTCTGAAAACACTGAATATGGGGCCAACTTTGACAGGTGGATAAGGATACCCACCTGCCAACCACCTAGCGCCATTGTGACATAAGGTGGAAACTTCAAAGTGGTTCAATCTCTGTTAAGTTGTGGGTGAACATATCAGACGACACAGCGATTCTTCAAACAGCTCTTGTTTATTCACAGGGCAGAACAGAACTGAACTGAAGGGTATATAGAGCTCCACTAGAATACAACAGTAACCATTTTCTGTAACTATCCAATCACTGAACATCACTTTCAATCCCTTATTTGCATATGTGGACCTGAGTGAAAACTATCTACAGTATCCCCCTGCTGGCCCAGAGTGAGAACTTCAGTACATAACAATCTCCACGCTGTAACCAATGGGGAGCTCCCTAGCGCAGGCAGTCAGAGCTATCAGCAAGCATTTGCTTGCTGAGGAATAATTGGAAATGCACTTTAGGCCCCTGTTACTTTGCAGCCATGTTCTTGCCTGACCTACAGCTGATGTTGCAGATGGGTGTGGTGTCAGGGAAATTGCCTTAGGTCCAAATAGAACCCCACTGCTGGACCTAATTAGGTCCATGGGCCAGAGGTTCCTCATAGAATCATAGACTCCTGTGAGAGTTGGTCATCTAGTCATGTCCCTGCAATACAGGAATCTTTTGCACAACGCAGGGCTCAAACCCAACACCCTGAGATTAAGAGTCTCGTGCTCTACCGACTGAGCAGATCCACAGCACAAAGTAAATCCCATTGAGTTTAACAGGGTTCACTCCCAGGTGAGTGGGTATAGGATTGCCGCCTGAATCCCTGAATGATTGACGCTTAGATTTCCTTCAAGTGGGAGAAAGGTTTTTGCTATTAGAAACTCAGCGTGCAGTCAAGCAATTGAGCCAGGCAAACTGTATGGATTATTTACGCTGATAAAACTGGAGCAGGGGGAAAAAGCAATGAATTCACTAAACACATAAACAGAGCAAACTTGGGCGTATTTATTTTTCCATAGAAATTATTTTTGTTGAGGAGGGAGTCTTGGGGAGGGGGAGAGTTTCCCGATAGTGGGATCAGATTGATGGGTGCAGCATGTGTACATGATTTTCCCGTGACTTAAAGAGCAGGGCTAAATTAATATTTGCAGAGATAATATTGAGTTGCATTAGCCGTACCTCTGGCCTATCTCGAAAAGCCCATTAAACCTATATGATTCCATTTTAACTCCGCTGATGGCAGTTGAAGTCTGAACTTGTCTTTTGCACAACAGAACAGAACTGTGTTGGTGTGCGCCAAAGAGATCATTATCCCCTTTCAGACAACCAATGTACCGTGAGTGATCTGGGAGATAGATTGCAGCTGTTGGCTGTGTCCCAGAATTCTGCACGTTCAGTAGACTGTGAGTAGGCCCTGGGCAAGTGCAAACTGTTTTGCAACCCGAAATTTTAAAGAGAGCAGGATCTGCAATTATGTAGACAACCCACACATGCTATTTTCTATGCATGAAGGGCCGGTTCACATTTTCCTCTGAATGTTCATAGATCAGGGAGGGAGCCTACTGGTGCACAACCTTGCCTCTCCTCCTTTAAGCACATTCACTTAAATGCCTAAGATGAGCTCTTCTGGGTTTGAGCATATTACACCGATCCTGGTCCGACCGCACTGGCTACTAATTAGTTTCCGGGCCTAATTCAAAGTGCTGGTTTTGACCTATAAAGCCTTAAACGGCTCAGGACCGCAATACCTCAAGGACCACTTCTTTCCATATGAACCTACCCGGACCCTGCGATCACCTTCTGAGGCCCATCTTCATGGGCCTCCTCCTCGAGAGGTCTGGAGGGTGGCAACATGAGAACAGGGCCTTCTCTGCAGCGGCTCCCCCTCTGTGAAATGCTCTCCCTGAGGAAGTTCGCCTGGTACCTTCATTACACACTTTAGGCACCAGGCAAAAATGTTCCTTTTTAACCAGGCCTTTGGTTGACCTAACTGACATCCTATACCCTTTCAAAAGGTGGCTCTTTTTTTGGGGGGGGGTATTGGGTTATTGTTTTTATTTTATATATTGTGATCTTTTCTGTGAACTGCCCTGAGGCCTCCAGGTATAGGGTGGTATAATACAGTGATATCTCGGGTTAAGTACTTAATTCGTTCCGGAGGTCTGTTCTTAACCTGAAACTGTTCTTAACCTGAAACTGTTCTTAACCTGAAGCACCACTGTAGCTAATGGGGCCGCCTGCTGCTGCTGCGCCGCCGGAGCACGATTTCTGTTCTCATCCTGAGGTAAAGTTCTTATCCCAAAGTACTATTTCTCGGTTAGCGGAGTCTGTAACCTGAAGCGTCTGTAACCCGAGTTACCACTGTAATAATAATAATAATAATAATAATAATAATAATAATAGAAAGGATGGGAGCATTTTTGTTTTGGGAAGGGAAAACTACATATGCTTGTCTTTAAGTGCAAGCTGACCTGATTTTGTCCCTCACCCCTACACTCCACAGACAACTGCCTGCATTGCTGATACCTTTGAGCTCATTGTCCTCGTTCCAGCTGAAAAGTTTTTGTTCCTTCGCTCTTCTTATATTCTGCCCCTCATGCCAGATGCATGTCAAACTTTCAGAAACACTTCGGTGTCCACACGTTTAATCCTAACTTTAAAAATGATAGCCTTACCTTGCTTTAAAATATCATTCATATCTCGAAATGAAAATCTTTTAATAGTAGGAGGACTAAAGTGGTGGGATGGTGGGGGGCGGGTTTGAAGAAAAAGGCTTTTTTCAAGATGACCAGAGAGAAATGAGGAAGAGTGGTATAATTAGGCTGTGGTCATGTTCTGGGGAAAATTGGGTTTCCTTGGGTAATATAAATCTCTTTTTTATTATTAATTCATTGTGTATGATTAGAATCAGGTCACGCAAAAGGGCACAGTGTCCTGATCTCTGTCTAAAATGAAGTTCTGGGCTGCACAGAAGAATAAAATAACGTATTTGACTGGGCTGGAGATAACAGAAAGTGCAATACTGCTAATTAGCAGACATGGCAAAGTTGCTTTCTGCCATTTTTAAAGAGTGGGTTCCAAATTTAGCATTCTGCTTTAAGATTTTGAAAATGCCAGATCATTCTATGGTAGTTCTAAGTGAAAGTACCAAGAATTCTAATCCATTAACAAAAAATATGTTGGGAGCCAACCAGAACTTCGTTGGCTGGGTTTTTAAACCTGAAAATAGGAAGTAGGGGAAATTGTATGTCACTTTCAATTACACTTTCCTTTACTTCCTCTTCTAAGGTTAAAAAACCCAGCCAACTGTGCACCTCCCTGTCAGTCCAATTCAGTGCCATTGCCTCCCCAACCTGATACATCTGCAGCACTCTCCTTTTTCCCCCTTTTTAAATATGGGTTTGTTGTTGTTTAGTCATTTAGTCGTGTCCGACTCTTCGTGACCCCATGGACCAGAGCACACCAGGCACTCCTGTCTTCCACTGCCTCCCGCAGTTTGGTCAAACTCATGCTGGTAGCTTTGAGAACACTGTCCAACCATCTCGTCCTCTGTCGTCCCCTCTCCTTGTGCCCTCCATCTTTCCCAACATCAGGGTCTTTTCCAGGGAGTCTTCTCTTCTCATGAGGTGGCCAAAGTACTGGAGCCTCAGCTTCATGATCTGTCCTTCCAGTGAGCATTCAGGGCTGATTTTCCCTGAATCAGTCATGTGGCTTATTCCACCCAATTAAGGATCACAAAGTGAATGTAATGATATCATGACTTCATGTAGACAGACAGCGTTGCATCATATCAGGAAGAGAAACTGAAATTGAGAATTATTTAAATAGATAAGTGTTGTGGTTGTTTGAAGAGCTCCCAAAATATCACTCAAAAAATGGGTTGGGTTTTTTTGGCACTGCTAGGAAAAAAATAAAGTATTATGTAGGGATGCATGGATCAGTCCATTTCCAGACAGTGTCAATTTGACGTGAATCATAAGTCAGTTCTGTTTTTGAATTAATGGCCCCATTGCATGCCATTTTAAACACTCATGACTTCCTTCAAAGAATCCTGGGAACTGTGGTTTGTTAAAGGTGGCTGGAGCTGTTGGGAGACCCCTTACAGCAGGCACCCCCAAACTCGGCCCTCCAGATGTTTTGGGACTACAACTCCCATCATCCCTGACCACTGGACCTGTTAGCTAGGATGATGGGAGTTGTAGTCTCAAAACATCTGGAGGGCTGAGTTTGGGGATGCCTGCCTTACAACCTTCACAGAACTGCAGTTGTTCTGTAAGAAGAGAGATGGACTGCCAAACCACTCTCTGAACAGTATAACTTTGTGAGGAGAATACAGCATCCTAACATTTCTCCCACCACCCTTAACAAACTATGGTTCTCATGGTTCTTTTAGAGAAGCCACACCTGTCCAAGTGGTATCAAAGAGCTTTCGATGTATGGTGCAGTTCTTTACACATTCTGTTAGAATTTTGGGGCTGAAATTTATACCACAGTATCCAGAACAGTAGGGATGCGGGTGGTGCTGTGGTCTAAACCACGGTGCCTAGGGCTTGCTGATCAGAAGGTCGGCGGTTCGAATCCCCGCAACGGGGTGAGCTCCCGTTGCTCGGTCCCTGCTGCTGCCCACCTAGCAGTTCGAAAGCACGTCAAAGTTCAAGTAGATAAATAGGTACCACTCTGGCAGGAAGGTAAACGGTGTTTCCATGCGCTGCTCTGGTTTGCCAGAAGCGGCTTGGTCATGAGGTGTTTTCGAACTGCTAGGTTGGCAGGAGCAGGGACCAAGCAATGGGAGCTCACCCCGTCACGGGGATTCAAACCGCCAACCTTCTGATCGGCAAGCCCTAGGCTCTGTGGTTTAACCCACAGTGCCACCCACATCCCAAAAATGGCATACTGGTGTGGAAATGTGGAGAACTGGATAAACTGAGAGGCATCTGAACTCAACAGATTTACCTATCTCTAAGTGATGGGAGCTTAATTCTTCAGTGGCATGAAATCATCACGGCACAAAGATGAATGTGAAATATTACCGTGGGCAAGAAAGGCAGCTTCTCAACAGTGCTCGGTTATCCTCCACCCCAGTTGTGTTTGATTCTTGCCTGAAGTGAACATGCCAAGTGTTGCTATTAAGTAATTTGTGCCCCCAGAGGTAACCCTCCCCATCAACACACACGGAGGGCTTGGGTTTTAAGCAAAGTTAATCGCCAAACTTGGAAAACAGAAACACCTGCAGTTCTACTTGACTTAAACCCACCGCTGAGCAGACTTCAACCTATTCTGTAATGATTGCCCTGCTTCTAAGTTATTATAGTTAAGGCGCAAAATCTGCCTCACAATGCTATCTCTATTCATATATAAGCCTTGTAGTACAGATTGGAGTGGGGCGGGGGGAGCAGATAATTAAGATGGTGAGAGCTATACATTTTGCCAGCAGCTGCATTAAAATGGAGCCGTTTGAAGTTGGCTTTCAGCAATTACATCAGAGTACTTGTTTGAGAACTTTTAAGAAATAAAGCAGAATTCTCTAAGCCACCATTGTAGTCCCCACCCCACCCCCAGTAAGTATTATTTATCATGTCTAATGACAGATTGATTTAAATTAGCTCTGGCTGGGAAAGCAGACTTCCTTTGACAAGGGATAATTCAAGATGCATGGGGAAAATGGTGCCACTTATTCATTTTCCCCCTTTGTTCCACAAAATACCATGATTAAGATAAAGTGGGTGAGATATATATTATGGCGGCATTTAG